CTGTCTGACGCGTCTGCCTCCGCGACCCGAAAGGAGAAGCGGCGATGGAAGATGAAGATGAAGATTTTATTACTGAACAATTATTACTTTTATTTATAATAAGTTTGCTCTTTAATTTATTATACATGATTTTTTCGGCGAACACTGCTCCGTGATGCGACGAAAAGATCACCGGAGAAGAGGCGGCTCGTTCTTCAGCTCACTCAGAAAAGCTCAAAGCCATTAAAATTTCATAAAACAGTAGGAAAATGGATACCCTGCCAGAGACAACTGGTTATTGTGGACGGTAATCAGAGCCTACTGCCCAGATCGCAAGAAACATGAGCATCGACATCGGGAGGAGAGGTTATCGTCTGCAAGTCAAAGATCGATCAGTAACTATATATGCATTTGTAGATGTGTAAATCTGTCTGATGTAGGAAAGCAGCTCAAGACGACAACATCTATAACAGGTCACACAGTAGTTTATTGACAGGCGAAATACCGCAAACGTTGCAAATCATACTGCAATCATTTCATGAAGTACGATGAATACCAATATATTACAGTACGAAAAGTAACCTCAGACACTTCTACGTGTTTTGAATGTACTAGTTTCAACTGCGCTTCTTGATGAATGTCACTGGTAATGAGGTTAAAGCGTCCTCAGCCGTCCGTATGCGTTAGGGGGTTGAAAGATCTGTTTACAAATATGTCAGTTATTTGAGATTCCTAAATTATCTAGGGACTTCAGTTCGTTCCTCGATATTAAAATTTACTCATTCGCATAGATATGGTTGCTGCACCGATTTATTCGTCTTCTTCAAGTCGTTGACTACATACGATATTTGCTCTGGCCGATGGCTCGGCCGGAAATCTCAGGTACCAAAGAGAGCATCACATCTCCAACACTTGCCAAGACGTCCAGCACCACAGAGCCAATGAATGAGAGACGATTGAAACATGAAGCATCTATGAAGCAGTGATACTTTTCTTTTAACCGTATGTTTGTATTCAAGTGCCTTTTGCTAACAACGCATTTTGTGTAGTATTTATTGCACCAGCACTGAAAGAGACTGAACCCCGATGTGATGTGTCTACGTTTAAATGAAATTTTAAAAAAGTCCCGGCCGACATGTCTGCATTCGAACAAAACTAAAACGACACAACGGGCGGTCCGGTGTCATTCGAATCATCTGAATCAGAGCTGTCTTCAGAAAACGGTGGACGGAACAAATGCAGTGACAGGCAGGGCTCCACGATTGGAATCCGCGGGAACATTCAGGTGGCAAAATGACGAAAATGTCGTAGAACGGAAGGAGAGAAAAAATGAAATCTGAAACTACGACGACTTAATCGGCGCTTATGTCTTCACGTGGATGCGGCACGTTTTGCCCTTCATCTGCACCGATCGTTTCGATACTATCAACGCAAATGCTTTGCTGAATGCCATATCTACAGCTATCTGGCCAATATGTGTACTCCTTTTCATTCTTATCGCATAGGGGCGAGACTGCTGGATGAATGGCCAAATGACATAAATAATTATGAAGGGGAAAAATTCTTCGAAAGCTCCTCAACTAAATATACAGTCAGTGAGGAGAGCGAATGCAAATGGAAATTAGGGGAGCCAATCATCAGGAACCAATTAATGGAGTTTCGTCCATGCTGCAGATGGCAAACT